AAAATGTGTAGAAATGGAAGTTTTTTATTGTGTTCGGTTGATGAGAAAAATTAACAAGTGGGGTTTCCGAATTTGGCATTTTGAACTGATTTTGCTTTTGTTGTTATTTGTTTCTTAAAAAAAAAAAAATCTTCAATGCCGTGTTGGGAAAATAGACAGGAAAAAAAATGATCAAAGGCAAAAGAAGACTTTGACTTTGATTTGCCCAATAGAAAGATGAGAATTCAGCTCAGCTTTGGTTAAAGCAAATTCTTTGTATGTTAAGATTGTGCTTTTAGGAGGTTAATACAGCTTTAGAGTGAACACATTGAAACTATATTCGATTTCTTGTGACCTGTTTTGATGTATCTTTTGTTAATTGTTACTATGCCTTTGATATTTGACGATCATGGTGTCTCTTCTTAATGTCGTGGGGCTTTCGGGTTTGTTTTAGGTGACAAATGAATCACTTCATTCCATTGCTTCTCTGCTGAAGCTGGAGGTTTTGGGTTTGGTGGCGTGTCCTTTAATTGATGATGCTGGATTACAGTTTATTGGGCATGGATGCCCTTTACTAAAGGTAGGAAACTGGACATCTGCTGAGAAATAATTGAATAAAATGATTACACGAAAATGCTAAGTAAAATTTTAAGTTGTGTTTATTTTCTATGATCTGTAGGTAATTGAAGTATCAAGGTGCGAAGGTGTGAGTTCGTCTGGTTTAATCTCTGTCATTACAGGCCATAGTAATCTTCTGGAGCTTAATGCTGGTTACTGTCTTTCAGTAAGTAATTTCTTGGCTGCCTGCTTTTTGTGTCTTGCCGATGTTCTTAACAGCCGAGACCACATTTCTGGATTACATCTGCAGTATAACTTTGCCATTTCAGTTAGTTGTGGCTGCTGAATGTGGGTTTTTATCACAGGAGCTTTCTACAACCCTTCTCCATTGGATAAAGAACTTAAAGCACCTTGAGATGATCAGAATTGATGGGGCTAGAATTTCTGAGTCTAGCTTCCCAGTCATTAGCACCAATTGCAAGTCATTGATAGAAATTGGTCTCAGCAAATGTGTGGGGGTGACCAACATGGGCATAGTGAGACTTGTATCTGGCTGCATTAATTTGAGAGTCCTAAATCTAACATGCTGCCATTCCATTACTGATGCTGCAATTTCTGCTATAGCTGACTCATGCAGAAACCTTGTGTGCCTGAAGCTAGAGTCTTGTCATATGATTACTGAGAAGGGTCTTTGTCAGCTTGGATCCTCTTGCTTGCTGCTGGAGGAGATTGACCTAACAGATTGCTGCGGTGTAAATGACAAAGGTTAGGGTTAATGTTTTGCATAATTTTAAGTGTTTTCATTATAACTATAGTTTGTTTTAAGTATTAAAGTTTGAAGCATGCTTTATTTTCATAATGCAACTTATTGTTGCAGTTTTACTCTTGTCATCCAATAATTTGGTGACTTATCAGCTTCTGACTTCATCACTCTCTTCTATTGATTACCTTGTCTTATTTCTTATCTGCAGGACTTGAATATTTATCTAGATGTTCACAACTATTATGCTTGAAATTAGGACTTTGCACAAACATATCAGGCAAAGGACTCTCCTATATTGGTTCTAACTGTACAAAGATTCATGAACTGGATCTATACCGGTAAAATAAGTTTAAAAACCAATTTGATAGCAAAATTATATTTTGTTAATAGAAAAGTAAATATCTGTTCATTTGGACTTGCAGTTGTTCTGCTGTTGGTGATGATGGTTTAGATGCTTTATCTAAAGGTTGCAAGAAGTTGACAAAACTCAACTTGTCATACTGCAATGAAGTTTCTGACAGAGGGCTAGGATATATTGGTCATCTAGAGGAACTTTCTGATTTGGAGATGCGGGGACTTTTTAAAATTACAGGTGTGGGTTTAGAAGCAGTTGCAGCTGGGTGTAAGAGGCTCGCAGATTTGGATTTGAAACACTGTGACAAAATTGACGATTCAGGCTTTTGGGCTCTTGCCTACTACTCAAGGAACCTTCGACAGGTACAGTTGTCTGATTTGACTTGTAGGATATCAGTGATGGCTTTTTACTAGTATAATACTATAACAGAAATTTACAAGTATGACTACAGAAATCAAAACGAAGGATGGGGAGGCTGTGGAGATACGAAAAAAGAAGAATAATGAGAAAGGAATTGACTATCCTACTGAATTCATTAGACAGATCTGTATGGTAAAACATGGATAAAACATAAATTTTTGGAAAATATTTCAGTTTCCAGTCCTGAATATAAAACAAAAACAAGCAAAAAAACTTCACCTTCTGCTCTAGAAATTGTGGCGTTCTATTCATCTTCAATGCATCTTTTTAGAGTAAAAGTAAGGTGCTTTCCTACATGCTTCTTTAGTTATACTTTTCCTCTCACAGCATTTGAAAGCTATGAAGGTCATTACTCCAACTTTGATCCAATTACGATATTGTATACTTATCGACCACCTTAATTCCTCTGTCTTGATAACAGCACCTTTACTTTCTTGTTTGATTAACTGGAGGCTATGTTCTCTAAATAGTGCCTCATTCATTTTCCCACATCTATTGTTTCACATTTCAACATAAACCGCATGCATGATGGGAAGCCTTCTAGGGAATGTATTTAGAAACAGATGGAAAATTTATTTTCATGAAAATGGAATTTCCATTGTAAGTTTTTTGGGATTAATATATTCCGAAGTGATAAAATCCCTTTATGTTGTCAGATAAATTTGAGCCACTGTGGCATATCTGATATAGCATTGTGCATGGTGATGGGGAACTTGACACGCCTGCAAGAAGCAAAGCTTGTGCACCTGGGCAATGTCACAGTTGAAGGGTTTGAACTTGCACTGAGAGCCTGCTGCATCCGGATCAAAAAGGTCAAATTACTGGCCCCTCTAAGGTTGTTGCTTTCATCGGAGATTCTTGAAACCCTGCATGCTAGAGGTTGCATCATAAGATGGGATTAGATGATTTCGTCTTTGACGTATATAATGATTGTGAATAAACCCCTTGTCCATGGGTTAGGAAAGAGTTTTGCCTATAAGCTTTCAGGTGCAGAAAGGAGCAATTATGTTCCTTATTATTTGACTATCGTTTATATTTTGCTTTAGCATAAAGTTTAAGTTACTGCAGCCCGGATTTGTTTTGACCATGGTTTATTTATTTGTATTTTGACTGGATTATTTGACTATTGTTTAAGTATGCTGGTATGAGTTCATGGTATCTGTCATAGCACAAAATATCATAATTTGAAGTTTGAATTTCCATTTTGTCAATTCAGCAGTAGGGAACTTGAAATTCTAGTGTCGAAAGAACAAAAACCGAACTTGACTTGCTGCTAAATATGATTGGAAGGACACCCGTTTTCATCTCTGAATACTTAAAATGGTGAAAAATGCAGATGTACTTGTTAATTTCCCAATGATTTAAGGGGTCCCTAATCTTCTGAAGCCCGGACTAATTATGTTTTCAGTATGTAATTATAGGACTAAGCCGGTTTTCATTTCGTCTTAGGCTTAATCGTGGATATCTCTTTTTCTCATTGTCCCAAGTTAAGAACGCTAACCATGGCTAGATGCCGCATGGGGTATATCCAACCTGCAGGCCTAATCCAAACCCCGCAAGCCCTGGCTAGATGCTTCATTTTGAAGCATAGGGAATGGCTTGAACTTGGTGCTAGTGTAGAAATAACAACGGCCATCTTAACCAACAAGCGGCAAATGGTAAAGAATATTGGGGTAGGATCTTGAAAGAAAGCATAACTTCGTAAGGGGAAAAGCATAAAAGAAGGTGTAAGTCATAACTCAAAAGACAAACGCCTTCCTTTCGGCGCAAACAATACCTGAATTCCTTGCATATAAACTTACACTCTCTGTTAAAAACCACAATCATTCCATCAATTCCATTATCCTCCAATTCTAGCCACCAAAAAAATGGCATTAGCCAATTTACTTCTCATTCTCTTGATGTTACCTTCATTTGAAGCTATAACTGATGCAACCCCTTCGACAGAACAGAACTTAACCACTCAACCATTGATCATCCAAGCTTGTATAGGCGTTGATAACCATGATTTATGCCTCTCAAATATACAAGCTGAGCTTCAAAGCTTAGGGCCTCAAACCCCATCATCAGTTTTACATGCTGCTCTCAGGGCCTCTCTTAACGAAGCACGACAAGCCATTGAAACGATGACAAAGTTCACTGGTTTGTCTGTCAGTTATCGTGAACAAATAGCGATTGAGGACTGCCAGGAACTCCTGGATTTCTCTGTTTCAGAGTTGGCCTGGTCTTTAGCTGAGATGAAAAAGATTCGTGATGGCGATAGAAATGCTCAATACGAAGGCAACCTGAAAGCTTGGTTAAGTGCCGCCTTGAGTAACCAAGACACCTGCCTTGAAGGCTTCGAAGGCACAGACCACCACCTTGAGAGCTTCATCAGAGGAAGCCTGAAACAAGTTACACAACTTATCGGCAATGTTCTAGCTATGTACACTCAATTACATAGCTTGCCCTTCCGACCACCTCGAAACAGCACTACAACAAACACAAGCTCAGAGTTCCCAGAGTGGATAACTGATGGTGATCAAGAGCTCCTACGAACTAACCCTCGTGGCATGCATGTAGATGCCATTGTGTCATTAGATGGGAGCAGCCATTATCAGACAATCACAGATGCTATCAATGCTGCTCCGAGTTACAGTAACAGGAGGTACATCATTTATGTGAAGAAGGGACTTTACAAGGAGAACATTGACATGAAGAAGAAAAAAACCAATATTATGCTGGTTGGGGATGGTATTGGACAAACTGTTGTGACAGGAAACAGGAATTTCATGCAAGGATGGACTACATTTCGAACTGCAACCGTTGGTAAATAGTTATCTGCCCTTTAAGCTTCAGGTTCATGATTTGAATTGATCATAATGTTTGAGACATTTTCTTAAATTTCTCATATAAGGATTTAAGATTTGGGGTTTTAAGATTATGATTTTTAATAGATAGTTTAAATCCTGGAATTAAGTACTGCATAAGCTTATGTCAATGCATGACAGAATATAGTATTACTTTTGTGAAGTGAATTTCCTTTTCGGAAAGCACACGCTTCTTGCAAGCTTTTCAGGATTAAAAGGGTTCCAAGTTTTGCATATTCTATATGCCTTTCTTTTACGTAACATTTACATGACAAAATTTTCTTGAATGGCTTGATCCTTTTTGTAGCTGTGTCTGGAAAAGGATTTATAGCAAGAGACATGACATTCCGCAACACAGCCGAACCCCAGAATCACCAGGCGGTGGCTCTCCGAGTGGATTCTGATCAGTCCGCCTTCTATCGTTGCAGCATGGAAGGCCACCAGGACACCCTCTACATTCACTCCCTCCGCCAATTCTACCGTGAATGCCACATCTATGGGACCATAGACTTCATTTTCGGAAATGGTGCAGCCGTCCTCCAGAACTGCAAGATATTCACTCGAGTCCCCTTACCACTTCAGAAGGTTACCATCACTGCTCAGGGAAGGAAAAACCCGAATCAGAGCACCGGGTTTTCGATTCAGAACAGCTACATTCTTGCCACCCAACCAACCTATTTAGGCAGGCCATGGAAGCAGTATTCCAGGACCGTTTTTATGAACACTTACATGAGTGGTTTGGTGCAGCCTAGAGGGTGGCTCGAGTGGTATGGAGACTTTGCATTGAACACACTTTGGTACGGTGAGTACAGGAATTACGGCCCTGGTGCATCATTATCCGGACGGGTGAAATGGCCAGGTTACCACATTATCCAAGATGCTTCCACCGCAAATTTCTTCACCGTTGGTAGGTTCATTGACGGTCGGTCATGGTTGCCGGCAACCGGTGTCAAGTTCACTGACGGTTTGAGCAATTAGGAGACTAGCTATATACCCTATACTCTAAACTAAATTTTCCAGTTGGTTGTACTCATTTACACCCTCCAACACTTTGAGGATCCGATCTCTGGCAGCTTCATTATGTGTAATTGATTCGATTTCATTATTAGAACCAGTTACCATTTGATAGATTGGTTTTAGCTTTGTCTGGAGGTTGCTTTTAAAAGCTTGAAAAATATATTGGTGATTCTGATAAACTATATTTTCCTTCCTTTTGCCGTTTCCACAAAAATTAAACCAAACCCAACAGGTAAAAAGAATTACAACCAATAACTAAAGTTCGATTCTTTACCAAATCAGATAACCTGCTAGGAATGTCCATTCCTGGTTTTTTTTTTTTTGACTAACCAAAATTCTATTCATTGATCCCTTGAATTAACATCAAGTTTTCAAGGTTTATGTCCTTCCACCAATGATCATTGGGCAGCAAATAGATCAACCTTGTTTCACATACAAAAGCCTGAACCCTGTGTACATCATCCTTTCCTCCCCAATTATAACTACACGAAAAGCCTAGCTAGACAGAAAATTACATAGGCAAAAACAGGAACCGTATACAAAAATTTTTTAAAATGTCCATTGATGGTTGTCTAATACAAATCTCAGATGTTAAATCATAGGTCAAGAAACTGACTATACCTATAAAACCAACAAAACCATGATTAACCTCTATCGCCTGAGATGTGCTCTCAAGTATTTGGTGCTAGTTGATCTTGGACCACACCAACTCTAAGATTTTTTGTGAGCTGTTTACTTTAATTTTATTGGTGTTCTCAATAAGACAACCAAGATTTTCTAGTATTAGAGCAATATCCTTTTTGATTTTTAATATATTTGAACTTTCAATGATTGGGTTGTATATGTTGAACTTTGGGTTATGTTATAACTTATAAACTAAGTTTTTCATGCTGTATAAGCCCTCCTCTAAAGGGTTCAAAAGAGAGGCATAAGCTAATCTGTATGCATTTATTTTCTTTTTGTTTATTCAAACCACCATTAAAATTACAATATGAGTAATATATTATATTCATTAAATAATTTTTTAATATATAAAAAAAACTGATACTCGTGTCTTTATTTTTCTATTAAACTCATTGAATTGAAATGTATGTTATAAACTAATTAATACTCCTTTGTCTTTTTTCCTTTGTCTCTCTTTGATTTTTTCACATATTTTATATTAAAATTTTAAATTTTTTTAATATAAATGTTACATACTTTTTAATACAAAAAATAAATGTACAATATAAAAAAGTATGAATTTAGGTGTTTAAAAATTTAAATAAAAATGATTTTACTAATATATAAATCTGTCTCATATTTTATGCACAAGTTTTAACTATCATAATAGAAAGTTTACCTCGTATTAAAATGAATTAGTTTCTGAAATTAAAAGAGGATGCAACTTCTAAGTTATAGGAGTCTTTAATAAACCTTTGGGTGTTGACCTCAAGATGTGGCGTATGGTTCAATGAACAAACAAGGAGACGTGACATAAGCTAAAACACCTTAATTTTTACAAATTAGTTAGCCTCGTTTTGTCATTATTGCTCTGCACGTTTATGCTTATTGTATGCAGGAAACCTTCATGAATCTCTTGTATGCATTGTTCCAAGATGAGAACGCAAATAATAATTGAAAAAGAAGATAAAATAATAAGCTTGTTTCACCAATCATCTAATTTATTCTTCAGAGTTTCAGGATTAGTATATATAGGCCTAAGGGACCAAGCCTGTTTCACAAATCGACCATGGCTCCAAAGGCTTCAGCTCTTTGCAGTATAGCTCTTCTCCTCATGCTCCTCTCCCCATCCCTTGCGAGCTTTCCTACCTCAGTTTTCAACTCAGAATCCATCTGCAATTACACCCCACATGCAGATTTCTGCAAATGGATTTTGCCCCCCAACAAGTTCACCACCATGTTCGACTATGGCAGGCTTGCAGTCCATCGATCTTTAGTTACTGCTCACAGTTTTCTTGGTTTGGTCAAGTATTTCCTCGGACTCCCTTCGACTTCGTTCTTGAGCACGATTTGGGCCCTCCAGGATTGCCAGTTTCTGGCAGAGATGAACGTGGATTTCTTGTCATACACTTTGGAAACTATCAATTCTAAGGACAGTCTAGATAGCTTCCTGGCTGATGATTTGCATACTTTGCTCAGCGCTGTTTTAACTAATGTACAAACTTGTCTGGAGGGGCTTGAGGCTACACCATCAGCTTCAAGTATCAAGAATGGTCTATTACCATCTATCTCTAATGGAACAAAGTTCTACAGTGTCTCTCTTGCACTCTTCAGGCAGGGTTGGATTCATGACATTACCAAATCGCTTACAGGAAGAAACTATGTGTTTTCCAATTTGGGAAATGGTAGAAATGCTCCTTTACCTTTGAGAATGTCAAGCCATGACCAAGCAATTTATGAATCTGCATGCGGACAGAAGCATGTTCAGACAGATGGGGAAGGGGTTTCAGTGAGTCAAGTGGTGCTTGTAAACCCTGATGGAAGTGGCAATTTTACCACCATCAATGACGCAGTGGCCGCAGCACCAGATAATACCGGTGACAGCAGCCAATACTTTGTGATTTATGTGGTTGCTGGCGTTTACGAAGAGTACGTTTGCATACCAAAGAAGAAGCAGAACCTGATGATGATCGGTGATGGTATTAACAGAACGGTAATCACTGGAAATCGCAACTTCGTCGATGGATCAACCACGTTCAATTCTGCAACATTTGGTAATGTAGAGATTTCAGCTTTCAATCATGTTTGCAAATATTCCGTACAACACATTTTTATTGAATCACAAACTCTCCTGCAGCTGTCGTTGGGAAAGGATTTGTTGCAGTGAACATAACATTGCGCAACACAGCCGGTCCTATCAAGCACCAAGCTGTCGCAGTTCGGAATGGGGCTGACATGTCCACGTTTTACAGTTGCAGCTTCGAAGGATACCAGGACACCTTATACGCTCACTCCCTTCGGCAATTTTACAGAGACTGCGACATTTATGGCACCATCGATTTCATATTCGGAAATGCTGCTGTTGTCCTCCAAAACTGCAACATCTACCCTCGACTGCCATTAGAAAACCAATTCAACACCATTACTGCACAGGGAAGGATCGATCCTAACCAAAACACAGGCATATCGATTCACAATTCTGTCATCAGAGCTGCTGATGATCTGGCCTCAACTAACGGGACCACGAAAACATACCTGGGAAGGCCTTGGAAGCAGTATTCAAGAACAGTTTATATGCAAAGTTTCATGGACAAGCTGATTGAACCTTCAGGTTGGAGTGAATGGTCTGGAAATTTTGCACTTGATACGCTTTACTATGCAGAGTATAAGAACAAGGGTCCAGGATCAAACACTGATTCCAGAGTTAGATGGCCTGGATTCCATGGGAATATAAATGAGATTGATGCTGCTAACTTCACTGTTTCCAACTTCATCCAAGGTGAAAGCTGGTTGCCTGCAACAGGAGTTCCTTTTGATGGGGGCTTGCATTATTGAATTACACCCCATTGATTTCCAGCTTTATTATTAATCTGTCTCTTGATTTTTTTTTTCTGACACACCATTTTTGAATTGCAATTAATTGTCACTTTTGGTTGTTAAATTTTACTATCTAAGATTGTTTTTTTCTCTATGTTATTAGTATTTTCTAATTAGATGTTTTGAATAATTATTACTCCCTCTGTCTCATTATGTTTGTTCTTTATTAAATTTTTTGATTGAACAAATTTAACTTTGATCATTATTTTTAATAAAATTTTAAATTATAAAATTTTTAAAAGTAAAATTTACAAATTTTAAATTTCAAGTTTTTCAGAACATATTATTTTATATCTTAATTTTATATAACACGTTAGAAAATAATTATCAAAATTCAGTTCACTTGATAAAAAAAATCAAACAGAAACAATAGGATAATGGAAGTATCTAATAATATGATTTCAATATCACAAATCCATAACTTCGATAAAATTTAATCCAATAAAGTCTTATGATCACTAATAATTTTAACTTTGACCAAAAGAAAAAAAATTGATGATCTATTTTATTAATTTTTTTTAATGAGATGAGAGAAATCAAATCTTTTCTTTGTGGATAGTGGAGTCTAATTAAAGGAAAAATAATCAATTAACATTGCTTGCATAGCCAACGGCTGAATTAATATTTTCCTTTAGAAATGAACGTAAACTTTGTTTTCAATTTAATTAAAATCCTTATGCTAAAAGGAAAAAATTTTTTAATTGTTTACCTCCAGCAATATTTTTATCTTAATAATTATTTGCTTAATGTTATGCAAATTTTTTTTATCTATTCCCAACATCTTAATCATGAATTTAAAGACCTATCAATGATTTTATTTTAGTTTGTACCCAAAAAACTGAGAAAGAATTGATTTTATGCTACATGAAGAGCCAAATATATGAAGTAAAGTTTATGTTAAATAGGATTTCTTTCTTCTTAGAAATTTTTAATTAATTTAATTAATTTACATAAAGTATGAATAAAGAAAGATGAGTTGTGCTCTGCTTACCAAATAATAGAGAATATATATAGATGAAAAAGTCAAATGGTGAAATTAAACAAATTTAATACAAATTAATTAAGTTGGATCATAATGGTATAAGTATATAGTAAATATCCCTTGTTAACCAAAATTTTAAAAGCATTGTTCCTATTGATTTATAATTATAACCCTCCATTTCAAATTCAAATCCCATCCTTTCAGCAAATTATTAATTAAAAAAAAAAGAAAATCAAGCATTGCATTATGAGGTTGATTATGTTTTATTAAAATGACATGATCTTCTATCAATAAACTTTTTTTTGAAATAATCATTAATTTTTTTGGCTTACATAAATTTGATTATCTTTAATAAAAGATGAGCTGGAAATATCGAAAATTCGAGTAAAAGATGAGTTGGATTCTGTTCCATTACTTTTTCGACTAATAAGTAATAGTGGGAATATTTTAAATAAATCCAATTATGAGGAACCGAATTCAATAAAAGATAAAGATTTGTATAATTAAAAATAGAATATTAGAAAAATTTATAAATTTCAAATAATTTAAATAGGGAGAAGTGTTGCCAAATTTTAAATCCACATGTAAATTTGAAAATAACTATTTAATCTAATATAAAAATGTGAAACAATGTAAAAGAGCTAGCTGTAAAATTAATAAATCATAGCTAGAGAGATGAAAAATGATAAAATCCCTTTGAACAATAAATACTACTTTGAAATATCAAAAACAAGAAACAAATCTAAAAATTAATACCAAAAGATTATTTAGGGTCAACATTAATCAAAATTAAACTATGGTCAAAGATATAATGAAGTCTTGACCTCAAATAATATATACATATATACACAAATTATTATAAAATAATCAAAATTAATTCTAAGGAGTATCTCATGCCATCTAATTGAATCACTTTCAAGTATATTTCATGCTTATTTACGATCGATTATTAGTTGGGTATCTTGTGAATCAAAAAAGCATGACCAATAAGATAATAATTATTTAGTGAAAAACAAAATTCATGGTTGAATATGAGTTTAATTCAAATTAGAGTTCATAATTCAAATAAATGGTAAAAGCTTAGTTCAATCCTCAACCACATGCACCAAATCAGAATGGTAATTAATAAAACATAAACTTCATACTGAAGTGAAAGTTAAATCTGATTATCACAATGATAATTGATAAACTCTTAAACCCTAAACAGGGATTAAAGCCTAAGAGACAAATCAAGTCCTGGATCATCATCCTGACGATTATCACTTTCTGATAGATCCATTTTTGACAGAAAATCACGGCTGCTTGTTGGCTTCTTTGCTGCAATGCTTGAAGCCGCAGCAGCCATGGTTGGCAAAGTGCTACTCCTCGGAGCCTGGAAGTTCTCCATCATGATTCCTCCATGGCCGAAACGGCAGCCCAGGGTGGTCCAAGGGTAAGCAGGAGCAGGCTTATGAATCATTGATTCCATTCTTGTCCCGAGAGCCCTGTTGAAAGATCCATAGAGAGAGGCCTGAGAGAGGCTTGAATAAGAGTAGTAAGGGTACTGTCGATGCCCCAAAGCCCCCGAATCCAACTCTTTACGTCGTTTGGCGATCGCACGTTCTTGTTTATGCGCATTCTGATGCCCTCCAAGGGCTTGAGAGGTGGAGAACTCTTTCTTGCAAAAGCCGCACGTAAAAGCCCTAGCTTTCGACTTGGTCTGCTGCTGCTGCTTATTTGCTTGAGATGAACCCATACTAGAGAGTTTGAGTTCCACCTCAGAGCCATGAATCATCTCATCTCCGGAAAACTTCGCACCGAGTGAAAGGTGCAGACCTGATCTAACCTGGTTGGACTGATAATCATGAGATTCCTGAACAACAACAACTTTCTCTTTCAGTTTGGCCATCATGTTTCCATCGATACCACCGCCTTTATTTTGACTCTCTCCCGAGGCTGCTGAGATATTAGATGTATCTGAAGAACATGGTTTGCCACTAAGGGTTTCCATGGCTGCTTTTGATTGATGTTTGGGTCTTTGGAGAAAAAAAAAAGGGCTTGGTTTGTTGGAGGAGATTGGAAAGTGAAGATGTTCTATTTATTGATGGGTTTATTTGAAAGTGTATCTTTGAAATTATGGTAGAATATCTCATTGTAGCAGAAAGCATTAAAGAGATGACTAAGCTTGTCAAGATTTTGAACCAGAAGAGTGTTTACCATAACAATTATTCCAAATATATTCTCAACTAAATGAGCAAGTATAAGTAGAAAAGTAATTAATAAATAGTCACAACCTTCTACATAAAAACATAAGATCACACTCAAAAAGTAATTTGCTTTAATTCTTATTTTCTTTAAAAATTTATCATATGGAATTCTGTACATTGTATCTTTAACTCCTGATATGGTGAGTATTAATTAAGGGGGTGAAGCAGAAAAGGCAGGCTAACAAATTAAGTTTATGCAAAGTTCATAGAATTATATATGCAGGTTGTCAATTAAGTTTGGTAAGTGTTATGTGAGAGTTCATGTAATAATGTTCATGAAAATTTAAGTAAAAAATTATTATATATCAATAAATTGGACATGTAAATATATTGTGTATATATATCTCCAACATGTTTCCATTATCACGGGGTCATTACTCTTTCTCCCATAAACGCGCTTATGGGGTGTGCAACATATCGTTTATAAAGAGTTCAGGACCTCCCGTTCCTATCTGATGTGGGATAGAGACATTTTCCTCGTGACACTCTCTCCCACCCGATTCCGGCAACGTCTTCGTTGTCGTCGGCCACCCTGCCTATCCTAAGTCCCCTGGCCGGGGTGCTTTGGAGTGAGTCAGATAAGGTCTGGTCTGCTCTGATACTACTTGTCACGAGGTCATTACTCTCTCTTTCATAAACGCGCTTATGGAGGTATGCAGCACACCACTTATAAAGAGTTTAGGACCTCCCGTTCCTGTCTGTGGGATAGAAATACTTTCCTCGTGACACCATGCCTTGGTTGAAATTTTATTTGAATTTTTGTTGTCTTTATGATCATGATTATTGAGACTTAACTACTTATTAATTACAAAGTAAATTTTTGTCGCAAACCGTGAAATTCATGTTATAAAGTGTTTTTTAACTTTTCTCTAAACGATTGGTCCAAATTTAAATTGAAAATTGTTTGACGGAGTTAGTTTTATTGGAAAAATATATCTTTTTTTATGGTAAAATATTAAAGATGCTCTGGGTGGATGATATTGCAGAGAATGCTTTTCATGGCTTTGAGCTGTCAGTTTCCTTAAAAGCCATAGATTTCTTAATTACAGTTATCTCAAATCCATTGAGACCTGTTTGGTCAATGGTCAATTAACTATAATTGAGAGAGGGAAAATGCTTAGATAGCTTTTGCAGCCTCTCATTTTTGGGAAACGCTTGACAATTTTGTAGCTTGTCATTGATTTGACTCTCCAAGCCTCTTCCAAACCTTATGTTTCTGCACCTAAAAATAACCAAAAATCTAAACCATTTAAGCTTTTTTTTATTAATCTTTCCTATAATTCTTATAAGACTCATCAAGAATCACACTCCAGAGGGGCTTTTTGGCTTCGAATTGGAGTTGGCCATCGAATTTGCTGTCCTCTCGTTTGCATTTGGGCAGCTCTTGGTGCCTAATAGGGGGACTTTATGATCAACTAGGAACAAAAAAAAAAGAAAGTGGGTTTATTTTTTATTCTTCTTCTTCACTTTCTTTTTTTCAAGAGAGAAATTCCCTGTCTTGAAAGGTATTGATCAGGAGCTGCTTCATATAGATATTAGAAAATGGCAAGTACTGATGATGGACAGAGGAAGAAGAGAATCGCGATCATTGCGGTTTGTTCTTTCCTCTTGGTGGCCATGGTGGTTGCTGTGACAGTCGGGGTTAGCATCAATGACACCAGCTCCGATGATGGAACCAGCAATAGCAGTAAAAGTTCTCAGGTATCTGCCTCCGTGAAGGCCATCAAATCCGTTTGCCAACCGACAGATTTCAGGAAAACATGCGAGGAGCAACTCCGTGCTGAAGCTGGAGATACCACAGACATCAAAGAACTTGTCCAAGCAGCATTCAAGGCCGCAATGAAGTTTGCATCTCAAGCTGTCCAGAATTCTACGACCTTGCGGGATCTCGAGAAAGATCCAAGAACGAAGAAAGCTCTAGATGTCTGTAAACAACTAATGACCTATTCAATAAAGGAGCTCAAAAAATCATTTGACCAGATTGATAAGTTGGATATCAACAAGTTCGATAGAATGTTGGCAGATTTAAAGATTTGGTTGAGTGCTACCATCACCAACCAACAGACTTGCTTAGATGGATTCAAAAATACAACGTCAAACGCTGGAGAGAAAATGAAGAAGGCATTGAATGTTTCCATGGAACTCAGCAGAAATGGGCTTGCTATAGCCACTGAGATGTCTGCAGTGCTTAAACAATTAGAAATTCAAGGTGTAAATCGTCGCCTGCTCCAGGAAAACCTTCCTGTTCTCGGCCATGGCGACTGGTCGACCTATTTAGATATTCCCATGAGCCGTCGTCGTCGTCTACTCCAAGACAATGAGCCACCTGTTATTGGCCATGGCCAATTTGAGATTCAGCCTGGAGTTCGGAGGCTCATGGCTGCTCATCCATCTAGAATCAAGGCTGACATCGTCGTCGCCAAGGACGGGAGTGGAAACTTCACGACCATCAACGCTGCAATGAGCAGCATCCCCCTGAATGCTACCAAGCCTTTCGTGATATATATCAAGGAAGGAGTTTACGAGGAGAATCTCGAATTCGGTTACAAGATGACGAATGTGGCGTTGATTGGAGATGGTAAAGAGAAAACCCGTATCACTGGCCACCTCAACAATGCTGATGGTGTTCCCACCTTCAGGACTGCTACAGTTGGTATGAATCTAAGCCTTTGCTTCACGAAGAGAAATGTTTCCCTTTCTTTCTTCATTTGTTTAACAAATTGGTATGTTTGCATGCAGCTGTTAATGGAGACTACTTCTTTGCTAAAAACATTGGGTTCGAGAACTCAGCCGGAGCCGCCAAATTCCAGGCCGTGGCTTTGTTGGTCATATCCGATTTTTCAGTCTTCTATAACTGCTCCATGGATGGCTACCAGGACACCCTTTACGTTCACAGCAAACGCCAATTCTACCGTGATTGCACCATCACCGGAACGATCGATTTCGTCTTCGGCGATGCAGCCGCAGTTTTCCAGAACTGCACTTTCCTGGTCCGTGTTCCACTAAATGGGCAGCAATGCATCGTCACCGCCCAAGGCAGAACCGACGCTCGTCAACCAACAGCCATTGTCATCCAAAACTCCACCTTCACTGCTGCTCCTGAACTGGTTCCTGTCAAGGACAAGTACCCCACATATCTCGGCCGTCCATGGGGCAATTTCTCAAGGACAATCATCATGGAGTCTTACCTCGATGACCTGATCAAACCCGAAGGGTGGGCAATTTGGGATGGTCCTTGGGGCCTGAACACTTCCTTCTACTCAGAATTCAACAACCATGGCCCTGGCTCTAACAAGACAGGCCGTGCCACATGGCGTGGGATTAAGAGAATTTCACAGGCGATCGCATTCGGATTCACACCCGGAAAGTTCATCAATGGTGACGCCTGGATAAAGCCTAGGAGAGTGCCTTACACCCCAGGATTTTTCAGCACTAACTCAACAAATGTGCAAGCGCAATATAAAATGCGATCGAATTCGAGGGTAGCTAATTGAGAAAGCTAAGCTTTCTGCTTGTTGTATAGCCCAAGGTTTCAGCTCGAGGAACAGATCTCACTTTGACCCCCAAAAAAACAAAAAAACACGTCGTTAGATCATCAACATTTCTTTTGTGACTTTCACAGCTTCATTCGATTTTCTTTCTCAAATTCTCTATGTACGATATGCTTATAAAAAATATTTCAAAGGATTAATTATCAAAGGAAAATGTTAACATTTTTGTCCCTATTGACACTGGTCAAGGTGAAAATTATAAAAATATTCAAATTAATATCGAACCAATCGATAGATGTTATTTTTGTTAACACAATACCAACAACATTGATTTATTTATAATAAGGTCAAGAAAGTTTTATTTAAATTTATTCTCTTTTTAAACAATATTAAAGATCCTTTCCCTAATCAACACGATGTATTGAAGATTTTACTCGCAAAATAGAATAAGTGCTTTTATTTTTATTAACCGAAACCTAGATAAGTTATTAGAAACAGATAATGGCTTTGAGGGGAATGCAAATGAATTCAATGATATATTAAATTATGATACATGCCTTGATAAATATATATAGTACACACGATTAAGATTAAGATGGAGTTTTTTAAATAAAAGAGACAAAAAAGGAAAAAACAACACATAAAAGGCTTTGTACAAGTAGTAAAAAGTAAAGAGAAATTAAGTAGTCTATAAATAATTTTATCAAATTCATTTGTTTATGGATATATATATATATATTAAATGATCACATACATTGAATTAAAATTTTGATTCATTCATAATTTTTCTTAGTCAAACACATATATTATAAACCATCATAGTAAAAAAAAAAATTCTAAGTATAACATTTTCATACCATATATATCCACTAAATAAACAAGTCAAGGATATTCTTCACTCAAATTTTTAAAAATTAATTTTCATAAAATAGAAGAATTAAATTATTTTATCTATATTTTAGACAAATCGGTATTTCATTATTGATGTATTGATGAATTTTTTTAAATTGTTGACTAAATAACATTATTGATTTAAATATTTTTGATGAAATAATTTTGTCAAAACAAATATTTTAATGAAATATCGAATTTTTTTAACGAAAATTTCCATCGAAAATACTTGTATATTTTGTAGTGCTTGTACCATTTAAGAAAATATAAAACTTTTTTTAAAAAAAAAATTGATGAAATAGACTTTTTAGTCCTTTTTGCCCTTTAAGAAAGCAATAAAGAGATATTTATTTAGTTTATTTAGTTATATTAAAAAGATATTAGTGAAATTAGAGTGTTTTGCCCTATTCCCAAACGTTTTCCAAATCTCAAACCCCAAATCTCTCCATTGTGCGACGATGGCGGCCTCTTCGTCCTCGGCTACCTCCCACTCTTCCTCAGAGTCCTCGTCCGACTCGTCTTCCTCTCACGCTAAACGGCGTCGTCATCGCAGCAACCGCCGCGACAGAGACAGAGATTCTCTCAAGATCCGGAAGAAGAGTCGTTCCTTAGGTAAACGGCGTCGTCGAAAGCATCGCCGCCATTCCTCCGACGACTCTTACTCTTCCTCCGACTCCGATTACACCAGGTAAAAAAAAAGAGGAGAAAATCAATTATCTGGAAACAAAAATCATCCTTTTGTATTATTTGTTATAATTGCTGCTTAATATTAGCAATTAAGCGATTTAACTAAGATTTCATAAAAATTTTGACCTTTTTAATCTGGGATTTTAGTTGGAAATTTTCTTTGGTGACCCTTTTCATTATTTTTTCTTTTCTCATGTTAAGATTGTGAGGAATTGCTTAATCTTGTTTCTAACTTCAATTTTTTGCTGGTTACAGTAAGAGTAGGGAGTAAAGAGTTGTAGTCAATATATTTACATTTTTTTAACTATAATATGGGGCTGGACGCTTGAAAATTAATCAAAGTTATAGGCTTATGCTGTATATCTAATGCTTGTGGTTATCAATCAAGGATATAATTGCCTGTGCTTGTTGCCATCAGATGAAATTTGTTAATAGTACAATGGTTTTGATTTGTATTATTATGGGTTTTATACAAATGAAATCTGAAAGTATGCGGTGCATTAAAGGTAAGGAAGTGTGAATTTCTGTTGTGTGAAGGTTAATGCATGATTATATTTCTTGCCTTCACGATTGCCTCTATAGGTTATCTTTTAATACCTTTATATTTGTACTTGGATGATCGGGAAATTATATGCTGCTATTTGGTTATTTAGTATTTTGCCCACTAAGTACCTTCACTGCTTCACATGTATACTTGTTTGATGAGTTTCCTAACATTTTATGGCTGCTGAATTATAGCAGAAGTAACAGTTCTTCAGATAGTGAGCACGAGTCAAATCATTCAAAGAGGCACAAGAAAAGTGACAGGCCAAAGAAGGTGATTCTCTGGCTCTCCATTTTTCTTCTCATTTTAATGCAGTGTCTCATTTTATTACCATTTTGCATTTCAGTCGAAGCAAAAAGAACAGAGCAAGAGTCATCGACATAAACGTCCCAAGCACAAAGTTAAAGAGGTAGGCCACTATTGACAATGTTTGCATTCTTCCCTCCATATGAATGTATAATTATTTATACATGTCTAAGTTATCAACTTGCAAAGTGTTGGTTTTATTGGGGATTTTGTTCATTTTTTCTTGTTTATCCATCTGCTTGGACAGTAGTAAAATTTTTAATCATTAGGTTCATTGTTTAAAATCTTATGGATAACTAGCAAAGTTTCCAGCATTCATTATGTTTGAAAATGCTTCCAACATGACATTTCTGAGGTGCTTATAATACTTTCTGCCCGTTCTATGGATTGGCTCTTTGAAATTGGAGCTGGGGTCTGTGACATGATGACTGGGTGCAATTGACTTGGATTATTTTTCTGGGTCGGGTTTGTCCTGGCAATCGGAGCTATATATAGAAGCTGCAGGATGAGGGAAGTAGCAGCCCTGTGCAGCTTTCTAAGGTACTTCATTGCACTTGTGGTTCATGATATGCCATCTCTCTCTTTCATACACTAACCGTCATATGCTTTATACAGTTTCTTGGGCGTGACAAGGATGATAGTGTACGCCGTAGTGCTGTCTCTGGCAAAAAGGCAAGTGCATCTTCTTCTTGTTCTTTTTGTTTATGTTGAGGATGGGGGTTTCTGTTGTTTCAAATGTTTTGTCCAAAAATAGTGATATAGGCACATGTGATAATTCTTACTCTGCTATTGTTGTTGTTGTATTCTTTCTAGATTCTGTTGAAACTTGACAAGTCAAAGGAGGATAAAGCGGCCGAGAGCAAACGAAATGAATTATTGAAGTTCTTAAACGCTAGTTTTGATTGACTTGATGCAGCTGAAGTTCAAATTGTCTTATGAAGGTAAGATCAATGGACTGCGTTAGACCTTCTCAGATTAAAGTCCAAGTATCTTTCTGAAGGTCAGGTTATTATGCTTGAAGTCACCCTCATAGGTCATGTTTTCCATCAGTCCTGAGGGATGTAAGAATATTGGTAACCTCAGCCTTGAGAAGTTGTATTTTATAATGAATTCCTCAAATCTCAGTGTTGTATTTTATGGATTTGGTGCTTTCCTTCATATATTGACTTTATGTGATCAAATTTTATATATTTGATGAGTATTTGAGAAGCTTGTCACCACATCTATTTGATTATGGCATCAATGATTTCCAAATTGACAAGTTCCTTGTGAATCTGTTGCTAGTCAACCTGCACGATATGCAGGTTGAAAATCATTTCTCAAGTTGGCATATTTATACAAACCGAACCCATGGACACCCAATGTAAGTTGAATTTACAGGATTTAAAGATGAGAGACATTGGTGGCTTTTATCTCCCTCTTAACTCATTCAAGTGAATAACTTAAGAAAAGTGTCTCTTACTATTCTTCTTATGAGCTAAACTAAATATGTTTGGGATTCGTCATGTTATGTTAAATTTCTGTCAAACACTTGTCCAAAAGAAAGTAGTTTTTGTTGATAAATAGATGTGGTTAAGAACCCTTAATCCTCAAAGCTTAATAGTAACAGAAAGATTTTCATATAATTGCTCCCTTCAAACCAGATGCAGAGACTAATTTTTACCCATCCGAGCCATTTTTTATGCCTGTGCGATGACCGGAAAAGAATACAGAAATAAAAGAGCGCAAACGAGGGTATTACAGTCATTAAGCATGTCCTGGTTTTACCAATATAAGGGTGGTCTGAAGGCCAGAACAGAACCAGTGCACTATTTTCTTGGTTAGGGTTTATCTTTGTTGAAAATCTTTGTAGACGCCGCCCTGAAGTTCTGAAACTTTTGAAAAGATCATTTTTTTTTCAACTGTAAGATTTGGGTTATGTTTTTGTTCGCACATAGTTCTTCTTGGGAATCCACTGTCTCAGTGAATGATGCCTAGGATTTTATCTGTGCGTAAAGCAAAAAATTTACTTTTGATCCTTTCTGCTTGAGCCTTCTCCCTGTTTGTTCATGGAGATGTGCTCCAATGTTATTGGATTACATTCTCTCATTGAAAAGACGTTTTCTGGGTTTTTGGAACTGAAGGGTTTTCTGGGTTTTCGAAAGTGCAGAGTTTTCTGGGGGAAAAGGGTTTCTTTCTGGCGTTTCCTTTTGGAGTTTGAGCAGAGAAAAAAGCAGAGCATATTAAATTGAGATTGAGCTTAGAAATCAGGGAAACAAGAAACTGAAAGCAAAGCAAAGAAAATGGTGAATCACAGATTGGACAGATGTTTACCACGGCAAGCCTAAGATTGACGAAGCAAAATGAAGAAATTAATACTAAATTTGCCATTATACTATGATTTATCAATATATTTTGTCACTGATTTTTGGACAAAAAGATATAAGAAGAGATTACCAGATGTTATATGCAGGCTAAAGACATTGTTCATATTCGATATGACCTGGTTTTACCTTAATCCTAGGTTTACATGGCCCTGCAGCAGAGCCATGCCAGCAACCGCACAGGCATTAAGAGCATCATAGCTTTTAGAAATTAGAACCCAAAGCTGCAATCTAGTTTTTCAAGTTTGGGGAGTGACCGAATCAGGGCATCGGGGTGCTGTACGTTTTGGCCTATCAAAGGATTGAATGTGGCCTGATTGTGAGAAATGGGAGAAAAAGTCCAGAAAGGAATGTGATTTTCATGTTCTTCTCGTATGATTGGTTGAGTTTCACTGCGTTGTTACGGTTGCATTATTAAGGATTTATTAATAAGGTAGGTTTTAGTTATGGGCTGCTATCATAAATTGTTAAAAAGAGTTTAAGATTCTCCCCTTGGGGTTAGTTGAGGATGTGAATTGCCTCTGGCATTCACTCAAAAGGAAGGAGGGACTACTCCTTCACCACCCAACCCACTGAATGCTGTTTAGGCAATTCCTTTCCTCCTCTTGCCTGTTGGCAATGGAGAGTAGGTCCCAATGTTTCTTTTCTGTTTACAAAGTAATTAAGTTTAAATTTCAAATGACGTTATGCTCACCTCTCATTTAAAGCTCAATAATTAACTTCTCAATTTAACCTTTATTCATCAATTAGTTATTAATGTTACGAGATTATTATTTTCTTTTCAAATGATTAATTTATTGACATGTGAAACATACATGTTTATAAAATTAAAAATTTTATTTTTGTTTATATAAAATAAGATTTGGTAATATTCTCTCTCATTTAAATTTAAATTTACTATACGTTAATTGAGAATTGAATCACCTTATTTACTTTATCGAAGTAATTGACCTAACATCAAAATCAAATTTGAGTTGGTCTATGAATCATTACTCTCTTTTCAAAAATATTAACTTATGGGAGTGAATAATATTCCCATTTATAAACTCAAAACCGTTCGATTATCTATTTAATATGAGATTTCATGATGAATATTGCACCTCAATTCTTTAATTTGTTTAAAGAACCAATAAATATGTTGCAGCTGGTCCAATCTTAATTCATATTCTTCAGGGAATAATTGTTGTATCATGAAAAAAAAAATGTGAATACTAGATATAAACCCTTACAGCTCGACGGGAATCAGATTTGCAGGTCTTTGTCACCTCAAAGACAGCAGAATAGCCATGGAAGTCATATGATCTTTACCAATTTCTTACCCTAAAACGGCTAGAAGGAAATATATCACGGGGTGTGCAAGTTAGCAAAACCCAATCGCCTGAGAATCATCATCTCTACTGTGAAGGAAAAGAAGCAATGCTAGTTTGTGCTTAGCATTTACGCCTGCATGCTTTGGACCAAAGGAATCCTGGCCTTCGAAAGTCGAGCAAAGCCTATTCCCGAAGTAGTAACGTAAGTATTGAACATTTTCCGTTGCCTACATTTACTCCCCGACAGCCCAATAACTCCCACCTTGGAAACCTTTCTCGCTTTTTGCTTTGTATATCTGGTACCATCACCTTCGGTGAAGAGAAAAATATCAGAGAGAGAGAGAGAGAGAGAGATGGAAGGAATACAGCACAGGATGATGAATGTCAATGGGATAACAATGCATGTAGCAGAAAAAGGGCAAGGACCGGTGATCCTCTTCCTCCATGGCTTCCCTGAACTTTGGTACACTTGGAGGCATCAGATTCTTGCTTTAAGCTCACTCGGATACCACCCTGTTGCACCAGATCTTCGTGGCTATGGCGACACTGAAGCTCCAACTTGTATCACTAGCTACACTTGCCTGCACATCGTTGGTGACCTCATTGCACTCATTGACTCTCTCGGTGTAGAGCAGGTGTTTCTGGTTGCTCATGATTGGGGTGCTATAATCGGATGGTACCTCTGCATGTTCCGGGCCGATAGAGTCAAGGCTTTCGTGTGCCTTAGCGTCCCATTCATGCCAAGAAAACCAAAGATGAAGCCTGTGGAGAGCATGAGACTCTTCTTTGGAGAGGACTATTATATTTGCAGATTTCAGGTGTTTGTTTCTTACATTTACAGATCCTTGCTATGGGTATGTAGGTGAATATAAACAACTGAGATATTCTTGAATCTTGTTGTAGGAACCTGGAAAGATTGAAGCAGAGATTGCTCATGTTGGAACTTCAGAAGTGCTAAAGAAAGTTCTTTCCAGTCGGGAACCAGGACCCCCTAGCCTGCCTAAAGACAATGCTTTCGGTATCAAACCAGATACCCCAGTGACCTTACCGTCTTGGTTCTCAGAAGAAGATCTTAGCTACTATGCCAACAAATTCAATCAGAACGGGTTCACTGGCGGGTTGAACTACTACAGAGCTTTAGATTTGTACGTTACCAGGAAAAAAATTTCATCGAATTCTGGTCTTCTTTATGGTAAAACATCCGAGTTACACTTTTTTTTTTTTTTTCATGTTTGATTTCTCTCTGTTTGCTGCAGAAATTGGGGGCTGACAGCACCATGGACTAACGTACAAGTGAAAGTACCGGTGAAGTTCATTGTGGGGGATCTTGACAGCGTCTACACTACCCCCGGGATCAAGGAATATGTACAAAGTGGTGGTTTCAAAAGAGACGTGCCTCTGTTAGATGAAGTTGTGGTAATGGAGGGGGTTGGTCATTTCATCAACCAAGAAAGAGCAGAGGAGATTAACTCTCTTATTTATGACTTCATAAAAAAATTCTGATCTAGCTTTGTTTATCTACTCTTTTACTTGTCAGCTTTTAGTGTGGTTTTCACGAGATAGAAATGAATAAATTCTCAACTCTCATGAGCTCAAATCGGCCTTGTTATCTCTTATCAGAAATTTGACCATGTCTCGTGTTTGAGGTTAATGAACTGAGTTCAGACTTCTGGTAAAATGTTTACCCATTCTGCTGCAATTTCAAGAAATCTGTTCCCCTTGACAAAGCTTATCCGTACAAATTCTGGCATTATTCATGTTAAAACATCCAATATATTTTGTTTTCCATCAGAGATGCATGGATGGTTCCTCTGTTTACTGTAGAAAGATTAAGAGTAGGCTAACCTATCCTGGAATGAAAGTGCAAAACTCCCTACTTTCTGGATCTGATATGGTTTACAATCTGAGCATACATGGCTAGGTTTTCCAACAGAAAACTGCACCTAATTTTGGTTCAGTGCAAGAGTGGCTAATGGAGAAAAGTCAGTATAGACACCTTGACTACAATCCCAATAATAAGTGCAGCATTAACCAGAGAATAATTCCATAGTAAAATATATCTCGATTTAAAATGCTTAAACACACTCGACTTTGTAGCATGGGAAAGATTGATCCTCAAACCGGCCATTAAACAATTCAGGAACATGAAGTAAACATAAGCAAGTAAACAACTGACAGAGAAACCTAAAGTCTAGCAAAATTTGGTTTGCAGTAATAAATGACAGACAGGCCTCACAATGAAATACTAAAGTCATCTTAAACCCTAAATCCCTTGCTGTTCCTTCTTCCTCTAGCCCTCTCAAACTTCCTTCCCTTTGAGCGCACATATGGCTTAGTGTGGCTGTGAGGCACACCAGGAGCCGGACCAAAGTGTTTAACTGCTTCACGGGCATTCTTTGGACCTCTGAGGAGAACCTGCAATTCCACCCAAAGTAGTTCTTAGAAATACAGAGAATGGTTTTGTTCCATAAGGCAACAAATAGTAAAAGAAAGCAGACAGATTTCCTTCAAGGCAAGCAAGACTATGTGGACTTCACTTCTGGATTTAGGCTAAATACGAAAACATTTAACAAGATAGAATCGACCCAGCAGAACATATCTCAATTCTATTCAAAAGTTGCATCAAATTCTATGTTTGTAAAACGTGAAACACACAAGATGGAGAAAAGCTCAACTGAGTTGAATTGACTTTCAAATGAAACTAAAATAAAAACATTGAAGTAGAATCAAACAAAGAATTTACTAGTAAATTAATTAAAAGAAACATATCATCCATATACTCACAAAGGAACTCTCACACACTACATTCACATTGTAATGAGATCAGCTTCCACATATTATATGTTCTCTAGAAAACTAGTTTTATGTGTTGGATGGTGCATGAAAATATCATCAGCAATTGAATTGCAAAAAGTTTTAACAAAATGGAAAAAGTAGAGACCAAAATTTGACAAAAAGCAGAAATCAAGCGCCAAAAGAGATCAATAACAAATCAACCAAATGAACATCTATATTTGAACAAAAATAACAATACCAAGGACTAACTAATGCCTGAAAACAGCCAAAGAATTGCAGCAAAAGAATATCATACCGTGTTCTGACCCAAAGGAGCCCTCAAAGCAAGCTGGTCAAAAGTCAAGCATTCTCCACCAGCCTTCTCAATCCTAGCCCTAGCAGTCTCAGTAAACCTAAGAGCTGTAACCTTCAAAGCTGGAACCTCATAAACCCTTATATCATCTGTCACTGTCCCAACTACCACAGCGATCTTATCCTCCTACATTTAATTTATATATATATAAACGAATTAAACCCCAAAGCAATAACAATTTGAAGGTCCTAAAAAAGCTCAGATAAATATAAATACAATAAATAAAAAAATACCTTTCCCTTCATGAACTCAATAAGCCTAGAGAGGGACAGTGGAGGCTTGTTAACTTTGCTCATAAACAAGCGTTTCAATATCACAGCGTTGAATTTGCTCCCAGTTCTTCTTACAAGGAAACGATACAGCTATAACTCCCAAAAAAATTAAAAAATTTAGATAATTTATTGAAAAAAAAATGAAAACATTTTTATGCATGATGGAACATAAAAGTGAGACCTTGACGAGGAGTTTGAGGTAAATATCATCGGATTTGGGGGCTGTCCTCTTGGACTTCTTGCTCTTACCTCCTGCAACTAAATCGATCCCCTGTTAATAAACAAAAACAAAAGGAAAGATTAGAACTTTCTTTGTTTCGTTGCTTGTTAAGACAAAGAAAAATCTGGGAAATCTGGGAAGAGACCATTGCCGAAGGATTTTGGTGGTTTGCAGTGGGGAGGCGCCGAGAATGATGAAGAAAGACACGCTGAACAAGAAATGAAAGAGAGGGCTAGGGTTTTGAAGGGCATTTTATGTTGTCAGGTTAGGTTTTGTCTTGCTGCGGTTGGGCTTATTGGTTTAGATGGTGGTCCTTTCTTTATACCCTACACGTGTTATCCACAAAGTTGATTGATATTATGGGCAGCCCAATTATTGTATGCGTTGCGGCTCCCAATTGATCAATTACTATAAAGAAAAGGTTTTTTTTTATTATTTTCCTTCATTTTTGCAGTTAATTATTTTAATTCAAGCTTTGAGTTTTTTTATTTTTTGAACTATAGATGAATGGTTAATCAATGTTTAAATCATAATTGTTAAATCGAGACATTATATCGAATATCGATAGTATATAATTATTCAAGTTTGCAAGGTGGTGAGGACATAGTGTAATCCATGCAAGACAAATGGAGGAGTTTTTGGTATATCACAAATCTCTTTTTCTTTTGTTTCACTCCAAAATCCTCAGCCATACTTTGGATTCTGGGAAAGAAAAAGATGACATAAAGCAGTTAGCTTTAGATTGAAGAGCTGCATAACATGGAAGGGGTCCTACCTGATGAGATAAAGGCCTGAGCAGAGATCATCACAGCCTTAACACAAACAAACATTTAGCAGCCATTTTGTTTCAATCCAAATTGTTGCAGATGGAGGAGATGCAAAAAAGTCTTATGGTTTAATTGGCATTCATTGCAAAACCCTGTTCCAATATTTGCCAAATTACACGAAATATGCAATAATAACCTGATCAAAGCACTGATTTATATTGAAAACAAGATTTCTCTACAGCATACATTAACATAAGGGAAAAGAGTCATGGATTAAAGTAATTCCTTCAGCTGGATATAAACAGCCAAAAAGAGAGCAAAACTGCAGTGCAGGGCCGAACCACGATTATGTAACTTCTTTCTTCAACTCTCTCTAACTTGTTCATAGCTGGCACAGCAGTTGTTCCTGGAAGATGCTCATTCTAGCCGCTCCATCTGGAGATATGAGAAAATAAGGCATGATTTATTTCAACTTCGAAAGTAACCTAATATTTTAAAAATTTCAACAAGGTGGTGGTATATTGTTAGCCAAAAAAGGCTGTTCGAAGTCAAGTATACGAAATATACTCCAACTTATGGCAGAATTACCAGCATAAGATCAATTACACAACCATGGGAAATAATAGGTGATATAAGCTAAGCTGAAATACGCAAGATTCAGAATCTGAATACCTACTTCATGCGCGTTGCAATAAATTAGCACCAAAGAAAGAAAAAGTTAGGAATAATCAAATATTTTGACATTGGTGACATGCGAATGCTTCTACCAGACATAGGATATTCAATTGAACATACAATTAAACTATAAATAACTTCCAAAAACAACATAGTTAAGTATAAACACCTTCCATAGACCATCATTAAGATAATGCATGTTGTCTACCCCAATTCCCTTGTTGATTGCCCTTCTGCAAACCAATAAAAAGCACAACTTGTTAATCAGAGTAAAAAAGAATGAAGACATAGTTATTATGGCCTAACAACAACATTTAGCTAGCAAGGTGTTAGTCAGTTTGGAAGCAGAAAGCATGTAAGCAGAGGATAAGAACTACATAGAAAAAAAATTTTAAAACTAAGAGGTATGATGAAACAACAGACTGCAGCCTAGCATAGCTAAGTAATGCCATGTTCTCTGCCACATTACTCTCCTTTGGGCCAGGAGGTAGAAGTTACTTGGCTCTTCAATTCAAGTTTGGTAATCCATTTACCTGTAATGCTCAGAAAGGACTAGAATAACTCACATGTCTTTAGCTGACATTTTGGTAAAGCCAATAGCAAGAGCATGTTGTTTTCCCTCTGCCATTATCGCCTAAAAGGATTAGTTTCACAAATCAGATATTGAGAAAATGTAAAACAGAAACATATGGACTGAGACATAGAAGGTGATTAATACCACAGGAGTTTCTGCATCCACTTCATCATCCAAAGCACCACCAGGGGATGTAAGACCAGGACACATTATGTTAGCACCAGCAAGGACAAATCTTATCGCACCGCGATCCACTTGCAACTTTTTCATTATGTTTGGATCTGCAAAGCCAAAATACAGATGGTTATATTTTGACTTAGATAATGATGGGGTGCACTTAAAATGCACAACAAAGTTAACAGATGTCTACATATGAGAGTATATCACAAAATATTATAGAAGAGAATGGAGATTATCTTGGTTAGATATTTATAGTTCACCAGAGCTAAGAAACAATCAGATAATCAGTTACAAAGTCATCCTATTATTTAGTCTAAATATCACTCAAATAAATAAGGATCAAAATAAGCCCCTCATGGAAGAAGCATCATTCCACTTTAGAAAAATAACCAATTAAGAAGTAGCAGAGCTACAATTTATGAAAGGTACAATGAAGAAAAACTTACATTGGTGAAGGAGTCGGAGGGTAGGCATGTACGGTCCATCACGAATATTGAAGAATAGTGGAACACTATTCACCAAAACCAGATTTAAATGGTTTTGACTGCAAAAGAGTGAAACTGTGAGCATCATGTCTCAGGTATGCATGCTAGGACACAAACGTTTGATTAAGATCTAACTTGCAGGAGCAATATTAAAAGAGCAACAAACCATTTTGCAACAATTAACGGGGCCTTCTTTGGCAACAAATCATCCAAAACTGGCTCAAGTCCTGGGTACTGCATAAATGCATCAATGCAATAAACAAAACAATAATGTGAAGTAATTTCAGAATTCAACTGTTATGACAATTTGTAAAACCAAAATAATCACAAAGTAGTTTTATACCTCCTCTGCAATGCTTTGACGAATTTTTCGTTGCACAGATGCTTTGACTTGGTTTTGTGAAGAAACATCTTCAGATGAAAACCTACAAAACAACAAACATTTATAAAATATGAATAAATTGCGATGCTTACTAAACATAACTCAAACATCAAATTAAAACATTGATGATACCCTTAACATAAAGTATTCATCAAATGATCTTAGCTGTCAGTAATTTCAACGGTTATACTTCTTGCAAATGGTCAAAAACTTGTTAAAATCCACAGTTTGTCCATGCAAATCACTCACCTACTATCACCTATGGAAAAGCATGATTAACCATAACATGTAACGAAAACAGGTAATCAACTTATTTTCAAAAAAAAAAAAAAAACAGGTAATCAACTCATAGGCAAGGTTTACTACCCTTAAATGGCAAGACCAACGGGCACATAATATATTTCCAAAAGACATGTTCTATGCCAGCTTACCAAAATCTTAAAAATTGTACACCAGCTCAATATATCTATATATAAGAACATCCAAAGCATTCTCATATTAGCAAAGCTCCTTCACTATAGAACAATGTTATCAAAAACGAAAAAAATCAATATAAGGTGCTTCCTCATTTAGCTATCTTTCCGCAGAACAAAAACAATTCTTGCAAAGCTGCAAACCAATTCTTGCCCAATGCTTTACCTATCCTTCAAAGCATTAAAAAGCTTGCATAGATACACCAAGAATATATATTCCAAAACCCAATTACAGCAACCAAAAATTTTCTCCATTGCTTAGTAACACCAAGAAGATGTAATTATATAACCCAATTAAACAAATCCCAGTCTTTCCCAGGACTTTAAAGTGTCTGAGCCAAAACAAATTCCAGTTCTTGATCATGCAAAGAAAAAGATATTACCAGTTGAAAAGTTCAAAAAAAAAATTCTTTCCACCCAGAAACAAAAAGACAACTAGAGATAAGCAAACATCCTCAATCAAATGCAACATTTAAAGCAAAACTCAGAACCTTAAAAAAAAAAAAACCAAGAAAGAAGATTACTTTTTGAACATCTTGGTGAAAACTGCAAAAACAAATGGTTTGAATGAGGATCTGAGTTTGGGATCTCAAAACCTCTGCCGCTGGCTGTAGCACTTAACTATATGGAGTCAGTACAAATAGTTCGCACTTCAGCCGCGCCCCACGCGTTGGTATCAAGCCAATCTTCGTCTTTCGCCGAAGCTTACTGCTTTGTGTCATCAGACCCAAAACGAGAGAAGAAGAAAGGCACTTGGGTTGGGCTTCGGTTTTGTCTAATTGAATCTTTATGGGCCTCTAGCAGGCCCAAAAATAGCCCAAAGTAGCTCATTTTAAATTCAAATCATAACTATTTTTGAGATAAAATACTCTTACTTTTAAATTTTAATCAAAATTATAAAAAAATATATTAATTTTTAAAATAAATATCCTGCCTTAAAAAAATATTTTTTATTAGATACATAAGTTTAACCGTTAATCAATCATTAATATTTTCGTTAACTGTGATAATAAAAAAAAAAAAATTTTACTATTAATTAATTTTTAAAATTATTATTATATAATTTTTTTACTTTTTTATTAATTGAAAAAACCCCTCCAAGATGGGAAGCACTCAAGCTCCCTTGCAGAGTGCTCCTTGGGGAGTCCCGATCTTAAGAGCACAAGTGCTCCCCTCTGTTGGGAGCACCGATATGGTGTTCCCTTGGGTGCTCTCTTTTTTGATTCATATCTTTTTTAAATTTTAATATTTTAAAAATATAATAATAATTTTTAAATTAATAAAAATATATATATTTTAATCTTTTCTTAATCCCTACTAACAATATTTGTATTTTTAGATAGAGTGTTTATTTTAAAAATTAATAAATTTATTTAAAATTTTGATTAAAATTTATGAAGTTAGATTATTTAACTTTTTTTTGTAAAATGAAAAATAATATTCAATAAATATTTTTTATGACTTGAAAAATGATGATTTCGGGTTTTCAAATATGAACTTCATATTAAAAAAATTACCGACTAATTATAAAAAATAACTCTTATAAATAATTAAAATCGAACAATTACGTTTCGAGATAAGATTTTTATTATTGACATGTCGATACTATAGACATAAAAAATGATAGAATTAACATGCCACCAACATAGTGATGAAGACAGTCCCGGTGAAGGTTTAAAGCCTAAATAAATTTTTGTTTAATGGTTATTAGCAGCTCAAGGATCACATCAACATTCACAAAAACTTTGGCTTACCTGTCTTTGATATTGACTTACACAATTTGAAGAACCCTAAGAGTGTAGACATGCCTTGTGTCACGTCTATTATAGGTTCCTCAAATGCTTTTCCTTTCCGATTTCAGGTTAGAAAACTGTATATATCTGAATTAGATATATGTCTGGTTATCGAGATAACACGTGTTAAGAAAAATTAGGCATAGACCATGTTAGTTGTACTCGGATAATCCAAACTTTTCATCATTATAAGAGGTATACGTATTTGTCTTCGCGTTTTAAATTGTATGAAAACTCGGATACAACTTTGTCTTCACCGAGGGCGCCCTTTACCAAAAAGAAGAGAAGGGTTAGGACAGAAACTTGTGATTGGTATGGAATCTTTTAGTATAATCCACAGACCTTTCACCGCCAAAGTAGGTAACGCATATGCAAGAGGACCGAACTCCCAACTTTTGGTCTTGATTTTCTCTTTGAAATGAACATACATTCAAAAGGAAATGGAAGTTAGAAAAAGCATGTCAAGACAGATAAGTCATGTTAACTACAAGGTGGTCGACATCTGTCCTGATCAACGAAAGTAGATATTATGAAATGATTTGCAGACCAAAACGTGGCAAAATAAGACATGGATTTGGTGTCGGAATCATACGGTGCAAAAGATTTATCTCCCCCTACCTCAGTACGAACACAAATATCCTGACTCTGGAACAGCACCCCCATTTAATTGCTTCAAGTGCTAGCTCCTTCCTCACTTTCCTTCATTTCCTTCAACTACCCTCCTCTGCTTTCAATGGCTAGCTTGAGCTT